ACTGTGGGCTGCTGTTGATGTAAGAGCACTGGATTCTATATCTTTAATGTCTTTACATTTTGGACATTTTTCACTAAAGTCAGTTCGTAACTATGGATAACATTTACCATTATAAAAAGTTTGCCAACACGCCAACAATATGGAACTGTACAGTACAGTGGATTTGAGCTGAACCTAACAGTCTTGCAAAGAACACAAATACCACATAATATTGTCAGTATTTTTGTTTGTCTTTCATAACAAATGCCATCAGTAAAAATCCATTTTGTTTAATGACCTGACTGTCTATTACAGAGTATAAACATTCTCCATAGGTCACAGTGGTTCACTTGATTATAATACAATTATGTGCCGACATGGTTAATGGGACAAATTATAGCATTCCACGGAAATTAACTTCAAAGAGGGTGCTGTCTCTGACCCACTACTATTACTATTACTACAACTACTATTACAACAACTACTTTTACAACTAATACAATTGCTATTGTTGTACAACATAAGAACATTTACAAAGATTCAGGTCTTCCACCTTATGTTTTCGGATCTTGTGAGAATGCCATTTTGATAATATTGTATTTATGCAACTCTATGGTCACGTGCACTTTTCCTCACTCTCTCCACATACTGGTCAGCTTTTGTCCTTCTCTGAATAAGTGAGAGGTCAGTTTAACCAATCACAATGAAGTGTGAACTTTGAGAAGAAGCAGATGACTGTAGTTAGCTGTTAATGGCAGATAAAAGGACACTACTTTTTGGCATATTGCAGAACCCTTTTTTAGATCTGAGCATCTGCTTATGAAACAAAGCTGTAACGTAACAAAGGCACACAGTACGAGACAGTAGGAGTGATTCTGTGTTCTCCAGAATAAGACACGTGGGAGCTGGTGGGATTGTACCACGTGTAGGAGAGGAAGCCCCCTACCAGGTGGCAGCTCCTGGGCATGGGCAGGCAAAGGCCGGCCATTGGCACGGGGCGCAAGTCGTGTTCCCAAAACAGGATTAACACAGCCCACTGCCCACAAAGGTCCAGTGTTCTCATCCGCTTTGTGTCCAAACAGAATAATCAGCATCGTTCCCCAGCATGCCTAGGCCAATGAGTGTGGATGGGAGCAGGAAAGACAAAGAAGGAATAGAGAGGAGGAATAAAAAAAATGAAAACATTCCAAGGAGAGAGAAAATAGGGCAGCCTGTCAGGCAGCGCGCATCCACATGACTTTGATTTGAGGAGCAGATAAAGTCGATTTGAAGCTTTCACGAGGTGTACAGCACGGGTGTGATTTGCAATGAAATTATGTAGGGCTTATTTCAATGTATAAAACTACAAATTATAACAAATCAAGCACTTTTCATTTCAATATTTCTTTCATAGTTTTGATTTGCTTGCAGTGTTTAGAAAGATATTACTTTTTAGAATTGAGATATGTATCATGGCAATTGTGTTAGCAACATCAGTGCTTTCCAACAGGGACAAAAAGCAAAGAAAATAAATTAAGCATAACATTTATGAGCCTGTAGTTGATTTTTTCCAAGTATTTGAGCAAAATTTGTTTGCACCAGTAAAAATATATTGTATAAGCGGCTCTTAAGCAAAATATGCCTCCTTTGTACTTCCCACATCTAATTATAAAATGTTTTATTCTGAGAATCAAAAAGTATGCAATTAGCATGCAAGTTGTTGTTAACATTGTGAGCAAAATACTGCTCTGGCGTCTGAAAGTTGTGGAAAGTGCATCACAGTGATGAACAAGTTCAGTTTTTCATGTTTTTAAGAACAGGTACAATGCCTTTAACTTCACTGAACCTAAGATAATGATAGATAGAGTATATATTTGGATGGTCTTGTAGTCTGTTTTATGTCAGAACACCAAAGTGAGGAAATTTTATAAAAGTTTGAAGTTCATTGTATGCTAAATGGTTGCCAGTACAGCCAGACCTGCTGGGAATCACCCCTACTGTGTATTAGACCCTCAGAATAGTTTAACCTTTGCATGTGATTAATTTGACTTAAAATGTCACCGCTTGCAGGTTTGGAGAGGGGCTTTCAGATTAAGAGGCTTTTAGGGGTATTTTAGAACACTGGCAGCTAGGGTCATTCAGATGTAACAGGGGTGCCCATTTTGCAATTCTTGTAAGATTTCAAAGGTCAGTGAAGCTAGAAGAAAATTGGTTGCAGGACTAATATTTTTTTTTACTTTTATTTTTAATCTTGCTGGAAATGTATTGTAATATATCTGTATTGTTTGGATTTGTTTTAAAAAGTAAAAATATATATCATTAAAATGTATTCCAAACTATAGAGACACTAGCGCTCATTTTCAGGATGCCTAGAGTCTATAGGTCTGTGTGGATGGGCCTCACAGAGACGGTGAAGACGGTGCTCTGATCCAGGCGCAGTGGAGCACAGCAGCCAGATGATGAAAGACTTCATTCATGCACAGTGACAACAAATAGATTCTTTTCCAGCTACAGCTCTCTGATGCTAGCCCATAGAGGACAATAGCCGATACATTTTGAATGCAACTGTCCCGTACTAGCCAAAATGCAATGTAGCCCATCCCAGCGACCAAATTTTATTGACAAGGTATGACCAGAAAGGACAAAACCACAGACATCTTGTGAGCTTCGAATCTTTTGTGTTTGTTGGGGTATCAGCTGGGACGCGAGTTATGCACACAAGATTAAATTAGCATGCTAATATATTTAAATGCATTGTTGAAGTGCTTTAGAAGTATGTAAAATATCTCACATCAACTCCTTGTGGTTTACAGTGACAAAAGTTTTCTCATATCATGGCGTGGATTGAAGGCATTTTTCATTGTTGACAGTTTGAGGGTGTCACAGGACAAAGACAGACGCGTTTTTATTTTGGGGAGTGAAAAGATGAAGAGGGTCTCATCACAGGGTTAAGAAGACAGAGTAGTAACAGAGTGGAGTTGGCGAACTTATCTTATGGTAAAGAAGACACATTGTGCTTTTATCTGCTGTATAGTTATAAGCTATGACACCCGTGGATCATTACATAATTTTAGACATTTTAAAGCACAATTTTCAAACCAAGAAACCCTGTCAGCCGCTCCTATGGTTAGCAGCAGACCATGTTTTACTGTGTAAAAATCATGGCTATACGACCTCAGTCATTTTGCGATCGGACCAGTGACGTTTTGAGAATAAAGATGACCCAAACATGCATGAACTACACTAAACACAACTTCAAATGGGTAAATGAGAAGGGGAAACAATAATGACATGGTTAAAAGCTCTAAAGAGTCATGTTTGTGTAATAGTTCTCTAGTTTATAGGTTGTAGAGAGGTAAATATAATACATTAGTAAAAGAGTTGTGGTGAAGAGAAGTTGAGCCGAAAGGCGAAACTCTTGATTTACCGGTCAGTCTTCGTTCCCACCCTCACCTATGGTCATGAGCTCTGGGTAGTGACCGAAAGGACAAAATCGCGGATACAAGCGGCCGAAATGAGTTTCCTCCGCAGGGTGGCTGGGCGCTCCCTTAGAGATAGGGTGAGGAGCTCAGTCACACGGGAGGAGCTCGGATAGAGCCGCTGCTCCTTCACGTTGAGAGGAGCCAGTTGAGGTGGCTCGGGCATCTTTTCCGGATGCCTCCTGGACGCCTCCCTCGGGAGGTGTTCTGGGCATGTCCCACTGGGAGGAGGCCCCGGGAAGACCCAGGACACGCTGGAGGACTATGTTTCTCGGCTGGCCTGGGAACGCCTTGGGGTCCCCCAGAAGAGCTGGAGAAGTGTGTGTGGAAAGGGAGGTCTGGGAGTCCCTGCTTAGACTGCTGCCTCCGCGACCCGGCTCCGGATAAGCGGAAGAAAATGGAATGGAATGGAATAGTAAAAGAGTATTCCAAGCAGAGCAACTAAACCACAGCCTAGTAAATGTTCCAGGATAAACATTTGCAATGGAAATTTCACATCCTTGCTTTCCTTCAGTCAAAATCCAAATCACATGTAACATACAGTTGTTAATATCTAAATCAAACAGATAAAAAGGGGAATCAACTATGGAAGACTTGACCTTAAATGTTCCACAGTATGGCATTAAAGTTATCTATCTCCATGGAAACAAGCAGGTGACAGTACAAAGCTGAATTACAATCAGATCTGTGGAAAGGGAACAGTAACCAATGGGGTGTGCAGAAATACTGAAATATCAATATATCGAATCGTTTAATGTGATGATACAGTATCGATATTGAGGGCTGCTTTATCGATATATCACCTAGAGCATTTTTTGGTATATGTTACTAAATTATTTTGTTACAGCGCTACAGTTTTGTTGCTTGTTGGGAGGAAGGAAACTTTTTTATGCGATGTGTGTTTCATATTAACTTTACACAAGAAGTGGTTTAACTTCTTAAGGCTTTTAGTATCACAGACATGAGTTAGGCTTTATTTTTTACTGAACTATATTGAAATCTGAAATATATCGTATCGAATCATATCGAATAGAATGCTAACGGTATAGAGGTATGTATTGTATCAGCAACTTATTAATGATACCCAACCCTAGTAACCAAGTTCGCATATTAATATTTGATCCTTGAAGTACTATGGAGCTCTGACCTTTTCGTTATTTTTATATGCTGAGCTACCCAGTCAAACCATGTAAAAACTTCATACTTCAAGCTATTCTCTTTTTTTGGCTATGTCTGAAGCTACTATGTGAGCTATGCAGAAACAGGTACATGCAAATAAACATTTAGTGGAAAATGTACTTTCTTTTCGATTACCACATATTTTTATCCCTCTGCTTGCAGACTCAGTACAACATATTTATTATCCAAGAATAGAACTTATTATAGACATTTTTCCACTTTTTCCACAATTATGACAATGCTGAGTGGTCTGACAAATCGGACAATGCGGGCACTGAATCACTCATTACTCAAGTATGCCTGCTGCTAGATCTTATGAATGAAAAAGCCAATATGACAAGCAGCTCATCAACATCCCGGGCGTTTCATTAGCCTTTCAATTACCTGGGTGCTGACAGTCCTCGTCCCGTCTGAAGCCTCCACTGTCAGGTTGTAATTTGATTTCTGCTCAGCATCCAGGGGCCTCGCGACGATCAGGGTTCCACTAGCCTTGCCCACGTCAAAGCGGCTGTCATAGTTACCACCTGTGGAGTGATTTTTTTTTTTCAAAAGCAATAAAGACAAAAGATTAGGTCAGTGGATTGTACTGCAAGGTTATTCAAACATGGAAATGGAGGCAGTGATGACCATGAGTAAACAAGTATATTAAAGTGTGCTGATGGCTGCTTACACCAAGAGCTAGTTTGTGAGCTTGTTTGCTCAAATCTAGCTGTGTTCGATGAGCAGCAGAATGTATAGTCAATTCTGTGTCAGTTTAAGGAGTTAAAATGTTACAAGAATGAGCAAGGACATTGGAAGGACAGTCATTTGAATAACAGCCGCAATATAGCTGAAAAATGAAAATAGAACTGGAGAAACTAAAAAGCTGTAAAGGAACAAATTAAGTGTGAAAAAATATAATTTTTCATGGACACAAAGAAATTATAAGTGCAATAATGCAAGAAGCATAATGGAAGCAAGAGTTTACCAAACAAGGACAGGAAAAGAAAAACAAAATCCAAATTGTGCTGAAAACAGTCAATGTCTGATCAAACTGAATCAAGCAGTGAACCCCGACCAAAATAATCCTGGTGCACTCAGATGCCAATGAACAAGCATGCCATTGTTCGGCTAACCTTTCATTGCGTAACAGCCATCACATGCAATTAACAACAAGCGCTAACATACGGAGATCAAATATTCCAATTACACAAAGGACGGGACTAAAAAAAGATATGGAATGCTTTGGGATGAGCCTGCCCAAATCGCTCCACTAAAGGAATAGCATACTGTATTTCCCTGTTTTTGCATAAGAGTTTGAATAGGTCATGGGTGCAACTAGGGCTGTCACAATAATGATAAATGATCATATTGAAACAAACAACTAATCTAAGGGTAAAAAAAAAAGTAAAATAGCAGAATGAAACACTTAAAGGCTATGTACTTGATTTTTACAGAAGAACTACTCATTTGCAGTGGTCCAAATTCATTACTCACTGACCTTATGCCTTCCGAGTTTTGCCAACATGGTAGAGTTAGCAATAACCATCATCATCATCATCATCGTCGTCGTCATCATCACTAACCATGCACCTAGAATAAAGTGCTATATCTGGACTAGTTAAATACATTAAAAAGAAATCGAGTACTGAGCCTTTAAGAACTTAGCTTGTATTTTGTATGACCTATTTATTCAATACTTTACAGCTCAAATCTTATCATAGTACAACTTTTTTTTTTTTATTCTCCACTGTAATAAAGAAAAAGTACCCTTGATAAATATTGATCCCCAAAAACTATTGTTCCATCTATCATTTACTGAAGTCGATTTACTAATTATCGTGACAGGTCTAGATGCAGGGCATGAAATCAACTGTTACGACACAGGGAGCAGGGCACTGGAGACATGAAATTATGGGATGGTCTGGGGACACAAGCACTGTGTATAGGAGGAGGTCCCAACAGCCTTCTTTCTACCTTCTGCGGTACAGTTGTGGTCACAAGCCATCTGCAGGATGTAAAAAAGCTCTGAGTCCTCAGTGGCGTCTAGCGCAAACAGCATTGGAAAGAGAAGAAAGAGAAGAGAAAGCAGAGACAGCACACACAAGAGATGTGTCAGTGAGAGATTGGTTAGAGGAAGGAGAGATAAAGAGGTGAGGAGAAAAGTTTGAGTACATTTTAGGGGTTAGTGTTGCCTCTAGAATAGTCTACAGCAGGGTTGGGTGATGGAAAAAAAAGTTTAGGTTTTTTTTCCTCATATTGATCTATCTCTATTTTCTATTTTATTTTGCTTTTTAAAAACAAAACAAACGCTTTTAGTGTTGATTTCAACATTGATTTTAACATAAAATTTCTTCCTCCATAATCTGAACTCTGCTCCAAACCACATGCTTTTACTGACAGAGAACTGGCTGTAGACCTCTTGATTCAAAAGCTCCAACCATACTGCTGATGATTACACATAACTGATTCACGATCTCTCAATCTTTTGATTAGTTACCCAGAGCTATAATAAAACCATTGCAAAATTTAATAATTAAGAATTTACTTTCAATCAATGCTGTACTCTCTTTCAAAACCAAGTACCATGTATCCATAAATTGAGATTACATGTAGCTAACATTAGTTTTGTTAGTACAATATACAACAAATCACATGCAATTCTACATATCATCACACAATACTCATAACATGTTAATGCTGCTGTATGTTAATACATACCTGTGATTTCAAACCACACGGGGAGCTCCGAGGACTCTGTTGCTACAACTCCGACCATGTGTGCCACGGGGTCGCTCTCCATGACAGAGAAGGTGAAGGGGGACTCCTCAAACTGCAGAGGGGCTGCATCAGCCGGGATCTCAGGCCTGGGGATCCACTCTATGTGCAGGCGACAGGTGGATGACTTCTGAGGACGTCCATTATCCACTGCTTTAATCTGTGTGACAAATAGTAATGGGGATAAAAGTGACTACTTGACCTGTTGCATGAAATATCTGCAAAGATATCATAAAAAGCCTAGGTTATGATTTACATTTTATCACCAATCATTGGGATCAACCAAGTGTCTATCTGACTAAAATGGCCAGAGAGTGATCGACCTGTTACACAGAAATACAAAGATATCATGATTTGCTTTAAGGTTGTCAAAAGTATTGATACCTAGATACTAATCAATACTAAAACTACGATAGAAACTATATTCAAGTATGAAGACTGAAAAAACATTATCGAAATAACTACAAAATACTGATCATGAGAATTTTAGAAGCAAAATTAAGTATACATATTCAGTATCCAATCTATGTAAATCTAATCTATTTAAATTGCAGTTTGGTCTTGGTGTCAGTAGTTGTGAATAATTTTAATAATATTTATATTTTGTCTCTCAATAACTATGACATCATGACAACCTCAATCCTGATACAACCATCTCTCCAGGTAGAACAATCACTAGGGTCAGATAAGGATTTGAATCTGTACTATCATATAGCAAAGTCCTATCATGTGTAATAATCACCTTTCATTTACTCCAGTCACAACCTGCTAACTTTACCTCTCAACGAATCACCTCTCAAGCAATTCATGTAAATGGAACAAAACGTTCTGTTAAGCACCTTTTGTGATCCTGTCTTTTATAAGGGCTATGCAGAAAAATGATCCCCTTCCAAAAACGGATAAATATCCAGTTTCATTAATGGTGTATCACAGAACATAGCATTCTGACAGCCAATTTAGCCAATGAACTGGAGGTAAATACACAGGTGCAGTGGTGACAGATCTGATTCATTTTCACACATAGCACATTATTTTCTAATAACCCTCCAACAGTTCTGTGAATACAAAGTGCTGCTCAGTTTGACACTTTCTTAATGGTGCTGCAGTGACAAATGACTGAGCTGCTTACTGTAAATTCTGACAGAATAACAATAAGCGTCTAATTAAATACTATATACCAGTGCATAAAACAGTCATTGAGTATTTTTCTTTATGTGTTAAGCGAATGTAATGTATGCAGATGGATTGGTTACTGAACAACCACATTACAGCATATAGTGGGAATTAATGGAAGTAGTGAAAGAAGGAATGGTGATGAAATTATTTAGCTAAAAAATGTTCTATGGAATGGCATTAAACAAATTTATCTCCAAGGACAAGCAATTACTGTGACCAGACCAGGTTATATGTCAGATCTGTGGATTTGCAGGGTATTTTTGTGCAGGCAGCATATCTCCACCAGAAATACACCATTAAATAACCCTAGTTTAGTAGGCTACTTGATTAAACTGAGTTAGGGAACATCAAAAACATTGAAAATATTATATATTATAGAACATAATTTATATGTATTTTATAAGTTCTTTGTATTTTTGTTATTTCTCTGCTCCCAAAATTGTATCCGAATGAGAACTACAGATAGACATGCAACATAAATACAAAATACTACGCACGGTTAGTATGTCATATTCTCCAGCTGAGGAAAACTTCTTGGATGACACCAGGCCAGTCTTGGGTTCAATGAAGAACTTCCCATGCTCATCTCCCTCCTCGATGCTGTAGGAGATCTCTGCATTTGACCCGTCGTCTCGGTCTGACGCGATGACCCGGTACACTGGGTCCCTCTTCATGGCACGCTCCTTTTCCGGACGTTCCCGCTCTGGAAGCTTTATCTTGTAGATCTTCTCCAGAAACAGTGGTCTATTGTCATTCTCATCCAGGACTTTGACAATGATGCGGACAGTGGTGGATTTGGGTGGGACGCCATGGTCGGTGACGGTAACCTGGAGACAAAATAATATTGTAAAAGTTTGAATAAACGCAAAACAGCAAAGCATTTGCCCTAAATTAAGTTAAATTTACCCCTCCATACTGTACAAGTAATACATTTAAGTTTAAAAAATGTTTAATAGTAAGATAAATGTATAATTAAAGGTACATTTTCAGGGGAACCATCTACTCCCTACAGATCTGTGGAGAGGAGACCCTCACTTATGGTAAGAATTGATGTTTTTGAGCAAAATAAACACCAATGGAAAAAATTCTAAATCGATATCGCCATACTGACCTGGAACTTTCTAAGCAAAGCTCCATGCAGATAAAAAACTGCCATACACTCTATGAAAGGTTATGCCACACCTTAGTATTCACTTAATACATCTATGTGTTTCTTTGTGCAGCAATACCAGAAGTAACCACATGGACCAAAACGTAACTTGCGCTCTCTAAGTGAAAATACACTTTTTTTTGTGTGTTTGTCAGTCATGGTGACCAAAACATGAACCAGCCTTATTACATCCGTGCACATAGCCTGCTGTGATCATGAAAACAGCAGCTTGTGTATCTGTTAGCCAAGTAACATTCGGGCGCTAATTATTTTTAATTAGCAGCATTTTCTATTGTGCTGGTGCCAGCTGCAAACACTGTCGCTCTGTGTCAAAATGGTGAACAAAGGTCTGCTATTAAACATGAAATATGAGGTTTACTTGATAATAATTTCAGTTAAAACAATCTTGCATTTGCATATTAGCTTTCAGTTTAGATTGTGATATTAAAATGTACAATGCCAGTGTGCTTTTATTGTAATTTTCATTCATTAAAAATCTTCATTTACTTAAACATTCTGATTTTTTTATGAATACAAATAAGGGGCTATGGGCTATAAAAGCTAAACTCATTTAAATCCACATTTTATTAATGTTGAAGATTTGATTTTCAAAATTGCTATGCAAATATATATTTTAATGTTTTCATAAATGATTAAGTACCTTTTCAATACACTAAGCGTTTATGATTTTTTATTTATTTATTTTTTGCTATGCTAATATTGCTTTTAACGTGTGCAAATTATCCTTTACCAAACTTAATTTCTAAGTAATATTTTTCTTTTCAAATGCAAATGAACGCTCAACTGTCATTTATAATTATATTTTTTCAGTTGATTTTGTAATTTATGAACTTCCTATGCTAATATTCTTTTTAAAGTGTACACATGATGCCATCGCTCTCTCAACCTTTACCAAACTCAATTTCCATCTAAAAACTCTTTAGAGGATAGGATGCCGTTAATTTTTTTTCTTCCTTCTATTTTTTTATTACTAACAAGTAAAGCGCTGCATAAGTGGTACAGTCATTTCAAACCATCTGCTAAGTGCTTCTCTACAACAGTCAGGAGCCCAGGACGTGGCACACACCATTTGGTCGCATCGTTTCAATCACCAAAGTAATGTGTTTTTGTTTTCCGCACTGAGTTTGCAGCTGTCCAGGCTATTCAAAACCTCAGAATTAATTAAACAGGATGACACGAAGCCCGGCGTGAATATCCCTCAATGAGACGACATATTGGTGCCCGTCCCGCTGTCTCTAATGAAGGCTGCGCTAGCTTTGGTCTTGCATATAATAGCCAAGGTCCCATATCATTTAACACGCCCCATAGGCAGTAAGCTAATAACTGCAGATAATTAAAAATGCAATTCCTGGGAGTATCTGTTGCAGTTACACCACTTGTTTTAGCTCCCAAATCTATCCATCATCACATTTGGAACTCTGACTTAGTTTTTTTTACAATTAAAACTCCACTTCAACTCCAGAGGGATGTATTGGGGCAGCATGAGAAGTTGTCCGCAAAAATGAGACAATCTGTGGCTTTACAATCATGCATCACTCCATCTGTCTTAACAGCCGTAGTGGTTTGATTACGTTATATTGTGATGTTAATAGCTGTAAGAGTTAATTGTCATCTAGTAGCTTTTTGGAAAATCTATGACTGTTTCTGATTCTTTTAGCAAAATCTCAGCAAACTCTTTTGGGCTGGGACTGCCTAATGCCGTCTCAGACTAGAAATCAAGCAAAATTTTATTTATGAGAAAATAAATGATAAAGCAACTGTAATAGTGATACTTAAGATGTACCATTTAGTAGTGCACAGCCTTTTTCCTCACAATAAAGTATTTTGAGTTTTCCTATTTTCTAAAGGCAACTGTACTACAGCTGCCCTAAACCAAGGTCTCTGCTGAAAAAAGCTGCTGAAAAATAAATCAATTTCAATGATACTGAAATGCATTTGAACTTGATTTCCAAGAAGAAGAAAAAAAAAACATTACGAATGTAGTGTACATACTACCAATAATATGCCAGTAGCATCTAAAGCAACCAAAAGCGATGCCAACATGCTGTTTGATAGTTTACACTTACTCTATCATCAAACACAGTGTCTTCCAATCCATCCTGCCATGGGGTATCTAATGAAAGGGCCACATCTGCCACTTGCTAGTACATACTTTCAGAGCTAGACAGACTACGAAGTGAGCGTACATTTTGTTTGCTTTCAGTATTTCAAAGAGTTTCTAGAAGCTCAGGTTCCATGATAGCTGTTTACACGCTGCTAAGTTTAAACATAGCAACACAACACTTGGCCCAATGTGCTTCGCAGATGGATCATATGCATGCGGTAATCACTCTTTAATTACAAAGGCATGATTACAGTGCATATACAAGTTATTTTTCTATTGATGTTTATTGCACACATGACACTTTTTAAGTAAGTAAAACACGTCCAGATGCCTGCTTTGGGGTACAGTTTGTGCATCAATAAAATTCTATATACAGTATACACTACGCTATGAAGCAAAGTGGCGCCGACTAAGGCTAGGATCACATGTGTAAAATGTGCTATTAAGCCTAACACAGCTTTAACTAAATGTCATCAAGTGGTGCGTTTAAAGTAAATATAGACTGTAGTAGCACCCTAAAAGCTTGTAATGTATTTCAACAGCACCATTTGGTATCTGATTGAAGTAATAATTAGCCACATTCAAGTAGCCAAATATTCAAAGGTTGGATATGTTTATACGACTGCGCAAGGCCAAACTAATCGCCGGCGTGCCAAGAGCTGGGAGAGGTGCCAGCCACCAGATGTGATGGTTCTATTGACTTCTCCTTTGCTGTGGTAATGATCTCTTTACAGTCCCAGAGCAGGCTCCTGAGCATGTCCTGGCATGTCCCTCCATTGCTATTTACCCACCCCCTTCTTCCTGTGCTCTGCCTCTCATCATGCCGTTAGGGCTCACAGTCCGACTACCACCAGAGCAGCTCGGGTTCTTCTCACATTCCCCCGCTGTCTGTCGTTCACACAGGCACACGACTTGCCCTGCCCCCACTCTGCCCCCACCCTGCCCCCACTCTTCTGAGCTGCCGGCCTCCTGGGCTTACACCCTCCTCCTCTTTTTTGGCATTTGGAGCAAACAATGCTGACACAGTCCCTCACCCTAATTGATCCACATGTTTCACAAGGCCTCACATGTTTATGTGCTTCCTCTGTTCTACAAGACACTTGCACAAAATGGTAAGAAGTGCAAACAAGAGGCAAGAGCTGATCCCAATGAATCAATACGCCTTTACCAGGACTGTGTTAAGCCCAGGAGGCACCAATCCTCCATCCACCACCTACGAAGGACGCAAAGCGACCCAGTGTCAACCTGCATCCTTGGAACCAAAATCCAAACATGACAGAGCGGGATCAGCTGAGGGGATCTGAGCCTGCAAGGAAACCTCCATGAGGGAAAAAAAACATTATTTTTTTTATTGTAAAAGAGCTGCTCTATTCCCCATTGTTCAACAAGTACAAGATCAAAGGCGGTCTTTAGGACTTATGTTGTACCAAATATAGATAGGAGAGGACAGAGGACTGTCTTGTCCTTAAAAATACACACAATTTGGAATCTTAAAAGAGACAGAATGTTGCATTTCCCATTGAATTGTGTTTTCTTTCATGATGATGTGCTGCAGTCTGTTCCTTGGAAGCTCATGACATCATCATCACAGAACTCAAAAATCAATAAATTCACAATAGTTGTCAGACCATTTTGTTCAAATAACTGATTAATAAATCCATTCTCTGTATGTTGGTATTCTTAAAGGCACCCAGTGTAGGTATGACTGAGGAGGCTAAACTGTGGGTTTTTAAGGTTTTGGACAGCACACAGATGTGATGACCAATATAAAAGGCTTCCTGCTGGATTCCAAATAACCACCGAGCAGCACTCACCATCTCCTCAGGTTTCCATGGAGATGCTCTTCTTTGTAGACTACACAAACTTTCTTCCTATTTGGGTCAAAAGTGACTTAATTTGACCTTCCCTTCAGGCTGGACAGAATGACCCAAAACAATATTGTGATTAATTGAACATTTAATCTTGTTAGCAGTTAATAAAGCAAAGTGCAGTTCCCATTTTCCGTTCATGTTCTCTTTTCCCCTTTTTTATGGTAATTTATCAAACTACTGAGTCAATTGTGTTTGTTTTTATTATCTTTTCAAATGTACTTCTAATTATTATTCTCACAGCACTGTTTCTACTGTTTATACTAATAAACCTGTGTAGCCTTATTTTTTCAATGTTTTTGTACTTAATCTAGAAGATCTAAAACATGAAAAACAGAAGTGGTTAATTTGAAACAGTTTGCAGTGGTCCAAAGTAATTCTTTTTATGAACGCTTTTCACAACATTCAGAGACCAAAGTGGAGTTTTGCAGTAATGCAATGCTGACATCTACTACCATGCTAACTGTGCGTTTCCTGATTCCTGACAATAAAACACTTTTTAATTAGGTGCAGACACCACCAGTTTATTTTGACTGGAAGAGCTTCTTATACAATATAGACTAGGGCAGTACTTTTTTTAAAAACTTTTTTACACACTATATCATCTGTGGAGTTTTTTTTCTTTTTTCTCATGGACTATTAGAAAACTTCACATAGTAAAGCTGTCATCATTAAAACGGGACTGTGGATTTCAGATTAGCATTATGGGTCCCACATTTACTGCCTTGTGCTTCATTTCTAAATCTATTTAATTATAAAATGTCTGGAGGCTGTGACAAATACACCACATTCATGAGCTTTGTCTAGGCTTTCACAGACACTAAGGCTTTGAATTAGACTCCCACCTTGCAATTGCACAGCTTTTAACCACATGTTCAAAGTAGCAATTGAGCATCTACAGCCAGCAGCTAAAGAGGGCTGTCTGGGAACCTTCACTTCTCATCAGCGGAGTCTTGGTGGGATCCGCAATCTTTTTGGGGAGTCCATTTCCCGAGACTTAACTGGGCATTATTGGCGGTGGTCTACACGCTTTGAAATGTCAAAAGGACTACTATCGAACACAGTACGGATGAAAGGGAATGGTAAAGGTAACAAAAGTACAGCAGTGTTAGAAATACAGCAGGACTTGATTTTGAAATAGGAAAGACAAATTTTGCTCAAATACATGGAAAATAAAGTATGCTAAAAAGCTGTGAGCTCTTAGCAATACATTCTGCAGAGAGAAGGCAATTTGAACAGTGAAATGTTCAAATTCAGTATGTATAGCTTTTCTGCTTAGGCTTAGATAAACTCAAACAGAAGCTCACACACCACAATATACTATAATAACAAAGAGCAAAAATATAAATAAAAATAATAATAAAGAGACTGCTGTCAAATATAGCATAATTATATAACTGTATATGGAAGAGTAATAATATAGAAGTACAGTAATACAAATATATAAATAGTAACATATTCTGTCTACATTACTATTATTGCTATTCTCTGGACAATAGCGACAAACCAACCAGCACCAGCTAACCATGTGTGCTCCAAGTTGATAATACCCATTGTTCGGATGTTCTCATTTTATCCATTGAAATACAGCACAATACACAATCCCCCTATGAAATATGAGACCTATCTGGCACCATATGTAACAACATTCACCGCCTCCTCCCGATGATCACTCAATTGCGCAAACGCTCACAATAATTAAAAGGCATCCAATCTGCTCCCTGTCAGCACCGGAAGCACAATTAAAAGAGCCATTATCAGCCTTGGCCTTGTGGTAGAACGCCAGGAAAAGGGAGGGAAGAAGGGAGGGGAGAAGAGAAGAGAATCGCCAGAGACCAGAGCTCAATTAAAAGCCACAAGTTTAGACATTGGCCCGATGCTTGACAGCCGCTTCCTGTCCCGGCTTGCTCCTTCTAAGAGCTGGAACAGTGGGAAAGAACAAAGAGGCAAGTCACCGGGATCTCCCACACACACCTCCCACCCGTGTCCGCCTCCCCTCACCCCTCCCCTTCAGGAAATCAATACAAGCAGAAAACTGTCCTCTCCTGTGCACACGGCTACACTTGTTTTCGTTGGCGATCCCTGGCCCAGGTCCAATAACGGTTGAAGGATCAGAGGAAAAAAAGAGAGTTTTTTTTTTTTTTTTTTACTCAGGAAGTGCTCGGATGGCTGACCTTGGGTTGGAACAGGTTTGAACTGCTTGGTTTTTGGCACAAAGTAAAGGCACTCACGTTGAGCCACGCAGTTTTTCTGAGGTCAGATTCTCGAGAAAAAAAAAAAAGAAGTTTACCTCAAGAATGTGCTCGTCCTGTTGCTCTCGGTCCAGTCTTCTGGAAGTAGTAGTGACCAGACCTGAAAGACAAAACAAAACTGGCATCAAATCTCACGTTTTAAGGAGTACTTTTATTACTGAAGTAAAATGAAATTTACTCAACTGCTTTAGTTTTTTTTTCACAATTGTGATTTGTCTCTAAACAGGACTATTAAAATTTAAATAAGATATCGAGAGATAGATTTTTTGGACAAAGATTTTTAGAGTGAATAAGTGTGAATAAGTTTGAAGTTCACTTCAAGCAGATTTGCATGCTCTGCAGTCAGAGTATGAGTAATTACCTTCAGGAAGAAGGTTCAGAGACCTATGATGTTGCATGAACAGAATTAAGAACTCCTTTGTGCTGTTGTCTATTAGACTACCTGAATATGAATAGGTAACAGTTGATCCTGCATTCTGCGCTTTATTGTGGACTGATGAATTGGAACTTCTGGTGTATTCTGTATTCATAGACTATCTTTTTATCTGTTGCACAGCACTGATGGAAGCATGTGTGGATATCAGACAAATTTCCCACTTGTGGGACAATAAAGTTAATCTTGATCTTGATCGCATGCATTATAAAAGTTTATAGAGGCCTAAACTATGGGATTAACAGGTTTATAAAAGACCTATACAGCCAAGTTATTTTCTTGTCTCCTGGGGACATTTTATTCAGTAACTGAAGTCCTTGCAATTTTCTTAAAATTGAAATTCCAATTTATTTGATTGCTATTATTCTTTTTAATGAGCATTTTAGAATATTGGGTGCACAACATTTTACAGTTTATTTCACATTTATTTGCCATCATCTTTTAACAATTAGGAATGAACTAATTGATTTTCTCACACATACTGTATCTACACAAAAATCTTATACTTAAATCTTAAAAATCCTCAATAACTTTGTGTGCAGTCTAGAACAATTATAACATCAAAGTTCAAACGCCTGTATTTGGAAACCCGCCCACGCTCAAACAAAAGAACCCATGGAAACATATGTGATTAATGGGACCTCCACCCCTTTCCCTTTGCCCCATGACCTAATCTGAATTCCCCCGCTTATCTCATCAGTTACCTATGAGCAAGCACGAGCACCTGGAAAAGTACTCTTTCTGCTTTTGGAGTTAGCAGACAGACAACAGAGGGCTTAATGCATGTGGAATGTGACAGGGCAGTGCAAATGAAGTCCTGGACTATAGAACTGACCTCCACACCGAACTTTCACTTCTGACACAGGCTCAAGAAAAACAACCATTACAGTACATTAGCCCTGAGCAGAGTTATAGAGAATATAACTCCATTTTATAAGCAATTCTTCTGCACATGCTTAAAATAAGAACAAAACGCCAAAAATATTTTTCTGAATCTGAAGAAAAATCCCCAATATAACTGCAATACAGAGAAATTGCAATTCGATTTTTTTAAAGATGCTGATGGAACTTTTTGGTTGGGGGTTCATCACCTGCTTGTTTCTATGGATTTATCACTGCTCTGCCTGTAATGTTCCACAATATTAAAACTACACAGTTCTTTCTTACATTTATTCAATTACAGGTGGTTTTATTGTGCAAAATACCAAGAAAAAAATGGGGTTGTGTGTCCACACACCTAACCTGTAATTTGATCTGGTTAGGTCTCCATGAAGAAACTTTTAATACCATATTGTGAAGTATTCCAGACAAAGCAGTAGCGTCTCCATGGAGAACCAGAAAAGTTACACAATGCACCTTTAACAATAATCATGCAGCCCTAATTCAGATCTTGTGGAATGGCGCTATCATGGCATTTACTTGATGGTATAATAATCTAAGGAGGTGCCATGGTGCCTCAAGTGCAATAATTACTGTCTTATTTCAAATGATTAAGAGTCCACAAGTAGTCTATAATGACAGTAATTCTTCAAATTTACTGCATTGGAACAGAGCAAAGGATAAAGATGCAGTTTCTTTGACTTTTCATTCGTTCTGCAACAACAAAACAAAGCTCAAGGTGCCAAGTTTCAGCTCAATTCCTGCAATTCTAAAATCTAATCACATCACATTTCCTTTCTTCTAATGGTGTTGTGGCCTTAAGGATTGGAAAGAATGATGATGAAGATGGTTATAGAGCTACTCGCAGACTGCACACAAGTAAGAAAATGTTCCATGTCATTTAACTTTTTCTGATGGCTTTGCGGAAAGTAGCTGTGCATTGTCCGTAGAAAAACATCAAGTGACAAACTAAGCCAAACAAAAAAGAACTAAAACCTAATTAAAAATACATTTGACACTTACAATTATAAGAAACCACATGGGTCTATTGGCTCTCCTGGATAAATGTGTTATTAAATTTACTGGGTAGAGAAAATTTGCTACTTGCTTTATGGCCACAGGCAGTTATTACCGGGAACACCTACATGAGTCACGCACTTCTCTATTAAAGTCAACATATTTGTCTTATTTCCTAATGATTCTAAAGCTTGATCGCGTGTTGTTGCTATCAAGAGTAATCCGATAGCCAGAAGCAATGCAACCTATTTTTCAATTAAGTGTCCAGCCTTAATCGATTTGGGAGAAACTGCTTATCTAGTTTTCTTCTGACGCAGCCAAGACACACTGCTGACTACTGACTCTTTTTGAGCTCTATCATTAGCTTTAAAGGTGCACTGTGTAACTTTCTTTTGGTGGAGGGCCCGCTATCTGCTAATCTCCATGGAGATGTTTTTGCTTTGCCTGCAATGATCTACAATATGGCATTACACTTAGCTAACTCCATGGAAACAAGTTAATGCCAGCAGGTCATGTTACGGGTCAGATCTGAGGAGTTGTGACTTCACTCACAGTAAGAAGAATTCAACAGCTTTAGCAAGTTAAACACATCTAATTGAATAAATAAATTAATGTAACATGTAACATTCCACAGCAAAGCAACTATGTCTTCATGAACACAAGTAAATAATGAATCTCACATCCCAAAGTTGTACTGTGCAGTAGAATCGTTGATGGTTCATATGACATAATTCACAATGAAGACTTCAGACTTTATAAACCCAGACTACGGCTGAAAGATTTGAGAAAAATATCTCATGAGTGATTTTCTGAGAAGAATTGCAATAGAGTTGTGTCTTATGTTTTATTAATAGGATTCTGCTCAAAGTTCACATTTAAATGCATCCAGAAGACTCAAATTTTAACTGACAAACTAATGCAAGAATTGTATTTCAGAACATATTTGTACAGCTCTAAACTACAGGGTTAGCAGTTTTTATGCAGACCAAAACTGGATATTTTGTTGTTTATAGAGGTAATTATGCTTAAAAAATTGCAGCCTTTGCAATTTGCGATATGCTATTTACATCCATTCAACTTGCAATTTCAATGTGACTGCGATTAATCATGCAGCCCTAACCCAGACTTCAACACTGGTAAAAAATACAACAAAGCTCCCATCTTGAGTTACTGCCCGGTCCAATATTCCATCAGCTGCACAAACAAGACAAGACAAGCGGGGGGACAGCGGCTAGCGTTTTGCTGTATGTACGTGCTATATGTGACTTTGCCTTCTCACTCCCACTGTAATTGCTACTTAGCTGAGACGCTGAGTGTAGTGTAGACATGCCAAGTTCAACCGCACCAGAGCTGTCTGCCTGCCACACTGCGTCTGATTAACATAAAGCTAAGGATTTCCGAAACCCCAAAGCCATCAGTGGCACATACACATGGCTGCAGCCCGGGAATAGCAGGCCACAACTTAGGCTCCTGAAATAGTCGGTCCTCAGCACTGCAATTGAGGCGAGGCAGCGAATGGGAGATTTTGCAGCCGGCCCTTAAAACCCCCTTTATATGTGCTACTTCTTAAGGCTTTATTTAATCTTCACAGCGAGCGGCCTGAGATATGGATACTGATGCTCAGAAGGATACCGCCAAAGAACAATCGCCTCATATCTGGGCCCTGACATTTTCAAAGGTACAACGGAAGCTGTTCAATTTCGCGCAGAGGTGTAAAAAAAAGGAGAAAAAAGAACCCGGCTGTTGGGTGTAAAGCCTTGCCAGAGATGATTTCCAAGCACCTTTCCAATATATTCTTTTTCATCACTCTCTTCTGATACTAAAACTTTGAAAATAAAATGAAAGAGACCAAAACTGTAGAATAGTAGAGACAAGATGCAAACAGAAAGTTAAAAGGTGTCAAATATATATACATATATGTATATATTTTTTTTTCTAAAGAATTAATGGTGTATTAACTATTGTTTAAATATTTAACTGGATTATATAAAGATCTCGAATGAGGAGTTTCTAGACATATACTAGTATAAGTCTTAATTTGAACACTACACTCACACGAAAATCAAACCAGAAAGTACACAATTGCACTCAAAAAAAGTGTCTACCATCTATCTTTCTAGATCTAGTCTATCTACCATCATGCTGATAATGGCCAAGCCTTTAATGTCGTTTCCAAATGCTTCTCTCTCAGTTGCCAGCAGGGGGTATCAGACATTTAATCAAAGTGCTTTCTGCAACTGTGGAACAACAAAATGGGTGCCTATAGTGTGTCACTATTTAATACACTAGTGTTCATGAAAACACTGTACCTCAATTCTAGACTATTGGATGTGTCAGAATTACAAATGCCAGCGTAATAAATATCTATATTTAACATTATGATGTGATCAAAAAGACTATGGATGATTCTGCCTTGTATATCATGCTCTGGTCCATGTTGAGGGGAAGTAGCTACCTATCACTGGCCACGGGAGAGTTTAAACCCATTATCATACATCAACCTCATCCCAGCTAACACACTTGAAAAATTTGCTCGCATGCTCTATTATGATGAGTCACGATAGAATTATTAACCGGGATGATAATAACTCCAGTCTCCAGCTGTGTAATGCTTCCACTGCTGACAGAGAAGTAGACGCTATCATAAAGTTGTTTGATTATGGCCGCGTTGGTGTTTGCAACTGCTCTATAATGGCAAAAAATGTTAATGACAACCAAAATAGTCCGATATTTCTTCTTCCACTACAATCAGGCAGCCAGAGCTCAGTGTC